TGCAGGACATGCCTTTCAGACCAGGTTACTGCCCCAGATACATCTCTTTCATTATATTTCATAATATATTTCAACAAATCCTCCCATTTTCATGTATTCATAAATAAATCTGCGTGGGGTTTACGGACCAACAGCAGTGCTTTAGCTCGGGGGTGTGTGAGACAGTAAATGTGGTCCATGTTGTGTATGGATGTGGCTGGGGGGCTGTGAAGCAAGCATGGAGGGGGAAGGAGGCACATGGGGGTTGCAGAGGGCCGGCAGACCCCCCCGACAGGAGCAATCACTTGTAGGCAGATGGTGAAGACTCGAGGAGGAAGCGAGTGTATTCGCACATCGGGAGGTGGTTTGGATGCTGGCAGGGAAGTGTGGCGGAGGCTGCCCGATTTGGCCGGGCTGCTGCTCGTTGTTATAGCAACCGGAGGAGGCTGCTCTCAGCCAGAGGATGGAGCGAGGACGGGGAAGAGGAGCAGGTTTATAAAGCAAAGGAGGGAGTTTGAATAGGTGAAGAGAGGGAGAAGTCAGAGGGCTGGAGCAGGATGAAAACTGCAGAGGGATGGGCAGGATATATGGGAATGGGGGATTCTCCCCACCTTTGTTCAGATGGTGTCCCATCACATCCCTTCCCTGGGGGAAAGCAAGGGTTGGGGTCCCTCTCCTGCTGTGAACAGGAGGGCACAGCAAAGCTCCCCAATGGCAGCAGAACAAACACTGATGACGGTGTAGACAGTGGGAAGGGGGCAAAGCACAAGGAATCGTCTGCAACAACTCCATAGTACAACAGTGGCTGCTGTTGCTGCTCAGGGGGAAGGTCCAGTTGGGAAAGGCTGTCCCAGCCATAACCCTGGTACATGCGGGCCTTGGATCTCTGAAGTGATCTGCCAGTGCAAAACGGTCTGGAGACTCCTCAACAGCCACCCCAGACCCCCCTGCTCCCCCATGGTAAACCAGATTCAAACACCAAAAACCCCGTTGTGAATCCAGCTCCGGAGCTACTGAGACCCTGGAAGACACTCCAGGCTTTTCAGGATGATGCCTCAGCACAGCAGAACTGTTAATGACATTGACATGACAAAAATCACTGCATAACCTCGCGTTCATCCGGCTCACAGCACAGCCAGCGCCAAGGGCTCAGCACAGCCGCGTTTTCAGAGGACAGGGTTGGAGAGCCCTTCCCAGGGTCATCCCGCAGGGCCGGCTGCTCCAGCAGTCGCGCTTTGCCCAGGAGATGGCAGCAGCGGGTGCGGGTTCCAGGCGGGAAGCCCCGGGAATTGGGTGGATAACCTGGATAATGGTAAATCATCAAACAGGCTTTCGTCCCTTTAAGGTGGACTATTTGGCTTTGCCCAGGGATTGTCTCTATGTGGTTTAGGCTTCTTGATAGTCACACAACTCCCATCCTCATCCGGCTTTTATCATCATGCCCCTTATTTCAACTGGGGCTCTGAGATAAAACCTCAATACAGCTCTACAGGCTGCTCATTTACGCGATGTAGACATCCACTCTGAATGTTGATTCCTACCTGCTCCTTCCCCCTGCATACACAGCATTCCTCATTTCCACTCCCCAGAAGCTGAGGCTTCAGGCTGGGTTTCCCTTCCCTACCATCAGCCTCAAACACCCATTTTAAAGACCCATCCCAAGGATTTCTCACTAATTAAATGCTTTTCATTACAATCCAACCCTTGGAAACAACCCAAGGCCAGGGAGACCTGAATAGGCAGCAAGAGCTTGGAGTGAAAGGAATCAAAAGCACAATGGGGCTTGAGGGAGAGGGGGAAAGACACAAGGTGCATTGGATGTGAACACAGAACACACAGGCTGGGCATCATCCTCACACTAGCTGTCTAACCTTGGGTATGAGGTGGAAATCTTCATCAGTCAGCGACTTGTTTTCCCACTGTCTATTCCTCCTTGTTAGCTCCTCCTTTTCCCTCCCCAGACAGCAATTCCTGCTCTTCAGGATCAGAATCAAGTGGGTCTGCCCACAGAGGAGCCTTTTAAAGCTGGGGTAGCTTGCAGTTCACCACCAGTCTGGTTATCAGCTCCATTTCCTAACAGGCAGGGAATAGAGTTGTTGCTACAAAAACCAGAAGCAATAAGAAAATGACAAAAAAAATCAAGATCTGTGCTTCAAAAAGAATGTCCTGCTTGGTGTTTTAATGAGTTCATTTCATTTCTATTAGAAATGAGAGGAAAGATTCCCTAACAAAGCAGCCGTTGTGAAGGAAAAGGCCAAAAATGCTTAGCAAATTTCCAAAAGCCACTTTTTTGCTGAGCTCTGCACTTTGGAATTGTACAGAGGAGAATTCACTCAAGGATTAACACACAAATAAAACTGGATGAAGATGTGGGCTGAAACCATGCATCCTCCTCATGGCACAGGACTGAAGTGATGAAGGGCCTTCCAGGTTTGATAGCATTAGTTTAAAGGGCTTCTTTCATTTCCTGCTGCTACTGATGAAAACAAATCCCTGATCAACTTTTCATGGGAGACTGTTTCAGGCTTCATTTCCCAAAGGAATTTCAAAGGCAGATATCCTGTTGGATGTAACCCCTTTCAGATAGGCTGGGTTGCTCTAGAACTGGTGGGATCCAGATCCCTTTGCCTTTCTATACCGAGTGATACCACTTCCAATAAACCTTGCTGAGGGCTTAGGCTTGCTGGGTGCTCTTTAATTTCCGAGCACAATGAAGCAGACTTGGCATTTCAACTGCATTATGAAAGATGTGTTCCTGAACAGCTGAAGAGGGGGAAAGAAGCATGTTTCTGCTTCCCATCTAATCAGGCTGCAGTTTCCCAGTGCCAGCCTCAATCTGTGTTAAATTGATTATGCCATCCACCAGAAAGATTGGGTACATAATAGAAGTTAACCCCAAAACTGATTACTCAGATAATTAAGTATTAGAGCTATAGTGGGTTACTCCAGCTCTTGGTGCCACCTCTCAGGTGCTTTATGTTTTCCTTCCCTCACCACCACTGCAGAGACCCACCTCCCATTCCCTCCAAGTCAGGCATTGCAAGCTTTTTTGGAGTCCGAGGAAGGAAGGGAACTGTGCTCCCCAGGGCTGGTTTGTCTGCACTGATCCAGCGAAAAGCACATTAGCTCAAACACATCTGAAGTTAAGCAAAATGGACCCTTGGGTACCCAAAGAAAAACAGAATCAGTCCTCATCTAACCTCAGAGAGGCAATACAGGCAGTGATGGACCCAGTGCAGCCTTTACCTAGGTCTAAAGCGATGCCAAAGGATGAGCTGTTGAAGACAAGCACTGGAATGGGAGTCAGGATGAAGGATGTCTGTGATCTATTACCACCCCCAAATACTTCCTCTGGCCCTGGTCTCCACCACCTCCATCAAGGAGAGTCATCCTTAACATTTACAAAGGCATCACAAACCTTTACTCTGACAGATGAAAGATTTCAAGTAAAACCTCCTCCAGATCTCATTAAGCATTCATGCTCTTCCTATTGCAGGGCCTTGGGAACCCAACTTGCCTTCCCGTTCTTCACCCCAAAGACATCAGTTTTGACCTGTGGAAACCACACTGAAGCTGTCCTATCTCAAGCTGTCTTGCTCCATTGTTTTCTTAAGTGCAACTGGTCATCACAAGTGCCATCGGGATGCCATGCTCCTCATTTTAGGTTGGGAATGCTATCCATGGACCCTGTAACAGCATCTAAAGGGACCTCAAGGTACTTCTTCCCACATAGCTACGGCATGACACAACCCATGTGCATATGACCACAGAAGCACAAGCAAAGCCCCCACTAGACCAGCCCCTGCAAAGCCACATGACAAAACACATTAGCTCAATGCAATATGCAAAGGGAAGATCATGTTTTCCACTGGACATGCTACAAAAGCAGATCACATGCCCTTACTGCTTGCTTTCTGGAGTGAAATATCAAAGGATAATTCAAAACACACTTGGATGTGCTTGAGGTAGGAGACTGCAGGGCAATGGCTTCAACAGGCCTCAGAAACCCACCCCTCATTAGCTCTTGTGTTTTTTTCACCTTCCCCACGTTTGACAGCTCCTGGAGTGGGTCCAGCGCCGTTGCATCCGCAGCACTGCCAGGACCCATTCCACATGCTGGGAATTTTCTGAAGGAAAAAAGCATTTCCTGACATCTGTTCTGAATTCGCTGTTCTCCCCCTCCTCCTGACTTCGTCTCACCCCACCTCCATCATCACCTGAGCCTGGCTGACCAGAGCTCACTAGTTAGAGCTGAGAATCTCTGTGGAGAACACAAAACCCACACCTCTCCTAGCCCTGTTCCTCCTCATTTTCTCTGCTGTTGACACAGGATTTTGCTCTTTGCAATGAGCAATCTGCCCCTAAACCCTAATCACTTGCACATGCGCTTTCTTTTACTGATTCAGGTTTTTCCTACCAGAACGATGGGCTTGAGTGTCGGCCAAATTAAAAAAGCCTTTGCAGGACTGAACCCACAACCAGGTTCATCCTTTTAGGATGGAGCTTTTTCAATGTGAACAATTCCAAGGTGGAATTCTATGCATTCTGATGAAGTTAGCAGGATAGGGAAATGATTTTCTGTTATCTGATTCCATCAGAAGTTTCCCTTCACACTCTGCCTCACCTTGTGCTAGCTGAGCAGCTTTCTGCATCAAAAATAATCAAAAGATAAGACTGAGAGACACAACAAGCTGCTGCTGCCAACTAATCTGCCAATAATTCTTCATACGCACACATGGATGCAGCTTTAAGGAGCCAAAAGTCATTGTGATCTTGTTTTTTCCCCCTATATTGCAGAAGTTTAAATAACCTGGGTTATCTCAGCACAGTGCCCGAGGTTCTGTTTGCAGCAGGACATGACAGACACCACCAGGTAAGCCAAGCATGTAAGTAGATTTTATTAAGCATAACTTTGGTTCTAAGTATTCCACCCTCATTCTTGTCATAGCTTTAGTTAAAAACAATTATACAAGAGCAAATACAAAAAATATTAAATTATGAAAACAAATCCATTAAGGCTCCCTTTTTATATTTATATATATTTATATATGTACACTCAAACAAGTGCAGATATTAACAGAAGGTTAAAGACACAAAAAATGCTATAAAATTTACTGCTATACTATCAAAAGCAAGAGTTTTAAAAAAGTACAAAGTGGTAAGTAAGCCATTTTCAAATCACTGAAGTATTTGCCAGATTGCTTCAAACCCCATATGGCTAAAGGGCAGATCAGGAGTTGCTTACACTCACTGACAAGCAGTTTCTCACTTGAGCAGCCGCACAGGACACTTGTGGTGTGACTAGCTGACCACCCATTGCAGGGTTGCCCATTCTAGCCCAATCCTGACTTTAAAGACAAGCTCTCGCCTGTCGAATCGACATGAAGGTGGCTGGGATTCCTAGACTAAAGGGTCAGCAGGATTCAAAGATGTTCTAACACACACATTGATGTTCTGTTCACACAAAGAATTAATTCCAACTGAAAACAAAAAACTACTGCACACTGTATGTACAAGGGAGTTGTCTGGCCTCCTGTGTTTCAGAAAGAGAAACTCTACCCTGAATCACAAGCTAACACGGAGAGAAAGCAGAATGCCTCCAGCCTTGAAGGGCCCAATCCAACACAGTCCCCGAAGCCAAGAAGAGGTCCTCATCCCACACTGACTCCGCTGCCATTGGGATTACACCAACTTCATTTCACTGTGCATTTGTGGAAGGGTTACCATGTTCACCAAGGGGAAATGGCAGAGAAATGGTCTGCTCAAGCCAAAGGAGGGTTTCCTCATCAACTTCTAGACATTTCCATACTGAGCAGAAGGTTAATTGTGGCGTGGAAAGCAAGAGGCATGAAGTTTGGTAGGCTGGGAGTGGCTAAAATAACACATGAATGTGGCATGGAAGGCTTGTGTATAGTGCTGTCTCAACAACATGAAACAAACTCAATCAGTGCAAGTGTTTGTGCTGCCAGAAAGGAAGATCTTCTCCTTCCAGAAGAAAGGAAAAGAGAGGGGAAGAGCCTGCAGCACTCGGGTTGTTCCTTTGTAGAGAAAATACAAGGAAGAGTCTTACGTTTGGCCCTTGTTGTATGTCCATAATCTGAAGTCTGGTAGACCAGATTTAATCTTCTAGACGCGAGTCATGCTGCAAGTCTAAATCAATGGCAATCCACTTATCACAATTCAATTTACTCTCAATCTGATTCTGTCCTCATTAAAAACACCTGGATCTTGACAAATGGAAGTCCGTATCTAGGAAACACTTCTAATTGTGAGCATTTTGTCCCAAGTGTTATGCTGAAATTGGATTTAAATCGTCCAATGCTTACAGGAAAGGGAAAAGGAACTAGAAACAAACCACCACCCCCACCCCCACCTTTACAATATAAACATGCCACTCTTGATATCAACAAAACGTGTTCTCAAACAGTTATAGCCAATGTAATTACGAAGCAGAAATTATTTTGTTTAGCATCCTAAGGCAAAGGCTAGGATTAGATCCTCAGGTGATAGGGATGAACACGGCTTCAGTGAGATCTACGACTGTGCCAACCAAGGAAGATGAGGATTTCTCCCCTCAGATTCTGAAGATAAGATATCTGCACCCATTCACACCAGGTAAAAAATCAATTCTATAATCCTACATGAGTGATCTCTTCCCCTCTTCTCATCACAGGCTTTCCTGGATATCTAGTAGTCATAAGCATGAAGGATCAGATTCTGCCATCCCTGTGCAAGCTGAGCAATATTTAACTTAATGGCAAGTCACAGGGGCAATTTGTGGAAAGCCAGAAAGTGACAGGATTGGACCCAAAGACTCAGTGGTAAACACACTTCTTTCTTGAGGCTAAAGAAAGGGTGGGATAAAATGAATTACATTTTATGCCTCACTTTAGAGTATCTCAGTAGATTCCAATTATCGGTCTGGTGTGGCTTAAACACTGCTCTGGTGCAGGAACTGCAACAAGTTCCTGCAAGCAAAGAGCAGGAACTGATAACTATTCTACGGTTATATGGCAAATCAGTGTCCTGATTTCAGTTCCAGCAAATGAGTTTAAACACTACCAAGTAACATGTTAACACTGTCCTCAGATCAGCATGTCCCTGGAGGAGAAAGGTCACAACAGCGAAGTAGGTAGCATTTCAAAACACAGAAAGTAGAAGACGGGTTATTTTGCATTGAGAGGTAAATCCACAGGTAGCACTGTACAGGCCTGTACACAGCAGTGTAAGCTTGGAGACAGATAAATCAGCTTCTGGGTTTTCCCTGGTGAGAGGGTTTCTGCTCTTTCATAGCCCAAATTCTACAAGCTGAACAGGGAGAAATGGGCTTTAAGGCTGCTTAACTTTTCACTGCTGGTGAATTTTAAGCATTCTTATCCTGCCCACACCTGCCTATCCTAGTGGGGATGGGCAGCAGCGATCAACATACCTCATATCCCCCAGATCTGATAGAAATTCCAACTAAATGCATATTCTTCTAGGATATACACAGGCTGTAGGTCTAGATGGAGCAAATCTACCTGCACAGCAAAGCTTCATAAGATATCACAGGAGGATTTTTGTTCTGCTTTAAAGCAAAATATAATCTGTGTATCTCCACTAAACTAGGATCACAAAAGATAAAGCAGTGCAACACTGAAGAAGTTTCTCTAGTATCCCTGGTTGAAATCTCTGAGTAAGCACATCAGACTGGTCCATGACACTTGAACTGACAAACAGGCTCCTTGTCCATTGATCTCAGGACTGCATTTGGCAAGTCGATCTGTTTACAGTGCTGTCTTTTTAATCCACACGTCCCAGGAATTAAATATCTCATCTTCAGGTATCAGCTGGATGCTGTTGTTTTCCCTCTTGAGGGGCAAAGCTGAGACAACTTGCAAAAGCCTCTCTCTGCAGGAAAGCTGGAAGTCTTAGCAGGTGCTGGCTCTAGGAGTCTGGTGCTTCTGTTGCTTCCTGGACCGTCCTCCTCAAGTTGCCCTTGACTTTGACAAATTCAGGTGCGTTTTCCTGCTCTTCCTGCATCTTCTGTTGCTCCAGTTCCAGCTTAAAAGAGAAGCACATGTGAAAAACAAAAGTATATAAAATAGATCATGGAAATACAAGACAAAAAATCTAAAGGTTTCAAGAACTGGCCACGCAAAACTCTTTAAACTGCTTCCCTTCCTCCTCTCATGGAAAAGATAAAGTTGCATTTCTTTAGGAGTATCTGCTCTCATAAACCATAGAATTTTTTAAATCCTTGGCTCTAGCTCATTCCAGATGTCAACAAACTCTGCAAGCCGAGTCCAAAACCAAGAGGAACCATTTTTGAAGAAATTCCTGGATATCTTCATTAAAGAAACAACAATAATTCCCATCTCTGGCTTTTACAACAGGACAAGCACTAATGTGCCTTGTTGGAGAACACATGCCAACAGCTACTACTGAGCGCACTTGCAGGATTTATTTCTGAGTGTCTAGGTATGGATTTCTGTATCGAACTTTTGCTGTATCTGTTTTGTCTATCACACAAAGCAATAATAAAACACAAAAATCCTCCTTGGCCCTTAGTTGTTCATTTTTGAGAGCCCATTCACTGACATTTTTAACCCAGCTGGAGCTTCTATGCAGACACTCAAAATTACCATGTGAGTAATTACTCTTGGGGCAATATTACTGTCCTATTCTGTGCAGTACCCATACAGAACAGGGCTTACACATCACACAGAACACAGATTGCTTAGCAATCCTCAGTGAAGGCAGATAAGCTGGCAGAAAGGAAGAAACAACCCTTTAGAAAACTAACAAAAGCTCCTCAAAGAGGCTTTTCCTTTTTAACAGACCAAGGTCTCCTTGATTAATGGGGACCACATACAGCTCACCTAAATAATCTTTCCTTTGTCTCTGGCTCACTGGGAAGGGGCATGCCTTGATGCAATAAATCATGACAACATTCCTCCATGAGCTGCATTGTCAATTAATGCCCTTTCTATCTTGTTTAAAGAGTCACAACACTGCTTGCAATGGGCAGGCTTTTCCTCTTCTAGAAGAGTTTTCTACTCTACCTATGATCTTGGATGGTTCAGTTTCAAATCAAATCTTCCTACAAGCTGAACGATTTGAAGCTGGGCCCTTAAGAGCAGAAAGGAAAAGTGACAGGATGGCACACTTAAAAACAACAATTAATTGATTTCCATTGACAAGAACAGGAGAAACTGTTTTAAAGCATTAATTTATTTAAAACCAAACACAATGCACCAGCACAGTGACTTCTCTAATGAGGTGCTTGTTTTACTGTAGAGGTATTTCCCTGTAGGTACAGGAAGTGCTTTAAGAGGCACAGACACACTTGCCTGTCCGGGTGTCTAGAAGTAAGCTTCACCACAATGAACTCCTACTCCACATCATCTCCTTAGCCAGGGTCTGAGTATCTTCCCCTTCATTTGAAAAGGGCAATGGGCTCACACATTTTAAGGCTACAGAAGATCTTTGAAAGTCACCTAGTTTCTTATGTAACCCAGGAGAAAGAATCAATTGATTTAACTCTTTAAGCATCCACCAGTTTTGATACACTACGGTCTAACAGCCATTCTTAGTGGATCATCTCTTAATAGTTAGTCCAAGAAAGTTGACTAGTTCATCACAGTTCAGTGGTCAAATAAGGTCAGTGCTCCACACACATTCCTGTTGCAGGATTCATTTGACCTAAGGCAGACACCATATGCAGTTCCTATACAGTAAGTAACAACAAACAGGTAATCACAGAGTGTGATTTGACTCATCCTAAGAAGATATCTGATATCTATTGGTATCTATCAATAAGACATTCTGATCAGAGGTAATGTTACAAAAATTGGCTGCTGCTTCTTTCCTGTCTACAAAGGAAAGCCTCAAAGTGAGTAGCTCCGATGTAGACGAATACAAGTAGTGTTACTGCCCATCTTACCTGCTCCAGTTTCTGCTGCCGTTTCAGTAGCTCTATTTCCAAGTCTGATTTCTTCTTTTGTGCTTCCTCTTCTTTTTGTTGTTTAATAACTTGATCTCGTTTCCTTTTCTCCATCACCTTCTGTAGCTCTGGTTTGTTTTGAGGTGCAAGACCCCTGCAAATTAAATGGGGGGAATGGTGGTGGTAGGGAAACAGGGGAGAAAGAGATCAAGTTTAATTAGCAGACATTCACATAGGATTGTATAGGTAGGTTTTATAAAGTCCAGTAGTTGCCTATTTAGATATATTGGAATATTAATAATTGAAAGGAAAAAACCACAGACATTTGCCTGGTTTCTACAACCCCTTAAACTAGAATTTAAACCATATTATTCCTGAGGGTATTTCCCTTTAATATGCATGCTAGTGTTTCTCCTGTATAATTCACTATTTTGACTTTCATCTTTAGTCTTTCCTCTATTCCCTTAATTTTAGAAGAATGTATTAAAAATCCCACCACAAATCAAGACTAGCAGAGCTAGAAACCAATTTTGGACAAAAAGAGCTCTCCTGCTGGCTGATAACTTGGAGAGACTGTGTTTACAGTCCTATGTAGGGTATTATGCCCAGAGAAGTTTGCATGGACAGCACAAAAAAGTGGTGTCCCTCTGGATTTTGTCTCACTGTCCTGGAAATCCTGAAAGTGTGAGAGCTTTACCCATGTCTGTTTGCGAAGGCACTTCCAGTGAGAGCTGCCAGGCTACACTCAAAAGAGGCTAAAGACAACACAAATCCAGAAGAAAAAAGTTGCAGTCACCTTGGAGACCAGACAAAGGCTGAGGATTCTCCCTCTTACAAGACTGTAGGTGCTACATCAAGTGAATGTTTCAAGTTCGCTCAGCAGAAACTGCTTCCTGAGCCAACTACTCTAAAATGAGAAAGCTTACTCTCTGGGAAGATGCATGACTTTACTTATTCAGGTACACACAACGATACACACTCACTCCTACTTCTACTTATTTTTGTGACTTCAGCCAGTTCTTTTCTCTCTGTTATGCTATCATGTCTTCAAAATTTGTTATGAGAAGATTCAAAGCTCTCCCTGTTATTCAAGTATCAGTGTCACTTAAATCAGAGCAGAAAGATCCCAAATGTGCCTTCCTTATTGTTGCCTTTCCTGTGAAGATTATTACAGAAAAACATTTTTTTTTTAAGTTTAATGTCAACCATTTCTTATTTCAACTTTAAGAGATTCTCAATAAGCTTTCAGAAAGCTACTTTTACCCTTCCCTATGTGCTGTGTGTCTGTGGTTGCCTGATTCTTCCATAATATGAATATTTGACAGCACGTCCAATAATACATAAAAATGCTATTTTACAGTGACATCTATGAATGACTCCATATATTATTCAACACATGTAGCCCTGTGCATACCCTGACAGCAAAATCAAATATTTAGCAACACCAAATGCTGTTCCCTTTTTCTCATAATAGATCTTGTGACCTGAAAACAACAGAAGCTCCGAGATCGCGTTCACATTTAATGTTTCATGCTATTTTAATTACATTTTAACACATAAAACTTAGGCAGAGAAAAGCTGGAGTGATTTATATATTACTACTACTACTACTACTACTGGATCATTGAGAGCTGAGTCAGCGGAAGCTTCCATGTTGGCAATTAGCAATTCAAGGCAGCCACAAACCAGAGGCAAGCTGCTAAGTAACATTACTTGTTCCTGCTTTTATTCAGTAAGGTTGCAGCATAAGAAACCAGAGGCACAAGGCTGATTTAGATGTGTTGTAGCTATAATAAAGGAGACCCACAGAAGTAAATACAACCTCTCAGTCTAATCAAGTGGGGTTGGTAGTCAGATCTGTAATGTCAACCATATGTAAAAAGGAAACGCAAGAAATAGGTGGCCACTGGATTAACTGGGAGTCCTGTAATACCTCCTAGTTATTGCTCTGGTTAAATAAGTAGTCCTAAAGCTTTGCTATACAGTAAACAAAATGTGCTAGACCACAAGTTAGAGCTGATAGGGTTAAAACCTCTGGAAGGGACAAGGCCAATACTCTGCAGAGCAGAGGCTGACTCCTACTAAGTAAAACCAGCTTAAGCTAAGTGACCAGTGCCTTGAGGCACCATTGCCTGGATCTTTGCCCCCAAAAACTACCATTTGTGCAAGTAAATAACTACAGCAGCAGGCAGGGAGGATGATCAGACCAGCACTGGCTAATATCTTCTGAGATATCTCTCTACAACTACCTGAAAGGAGGATGGTTTGAGGAGGTGGCCGGTCTCTTCTCCTAGGTAACAAGTGACAGGACAAGAGGAAGTGGCCTCGAGCTGTGCCAGGGGAGGTTTAGACTGGATATGAGGAAAAATGTCTTGACTGCAAGGGCAGTCAGGCATTAGAACAGGCTGCCCAGGGCAGCCTTGGAGTCAGCTTCCCTGCAAGTGTTCACAAACCATGTAGATGAGGCCCTCAGTGCCATGGGTTAGCGGTGGCCTTGGCAGTGCTGGGGTAAAGGTTGGACTTGGTGATCTTAAAGGCCTTTTCCAACCTGATTGATTCTATGTTTCTAAGATCCAGAAATGGCTGTTTAGAGCAGATTGGTCAAAAAGTGAAGCTGCTGGTGCCTACAGAGTCTTCACAATAAAATAAGGTGCTTGTTAAGCAGACTTCTATAAAAGCACGAAATCCTCCATAAACATGACAGTTTGCAGTAACAAAGCAGACCATAAGCTTAAGGCCTACATTACTAGAAAGCCTCATATCAGAGTTAGTACAGTGGCGCAAAGCACAAAGACTAACCCCCTCTTCTCAAAAACACCAGTTTTTCTGCTGGTGGAAACCCTCAATATATTTCATTTCTGCACCAGTAATTAAGAATCTAAAATTAACAGCTGCAGCTAATCAAAATCTCACAATAAAAGAAGATGGGTATTGAGAGCTGCACAACTCCACTGTGTAATAGGATACTCTCCCACAAGAAAAGAACTCCATAACTATTCAAAAGTGCTTTATGCTTTCATAAACTTAGAAGGAAAAAAAAATAGCCTTAATTTGTTGCAGCCTCCACATCCTTCAGAAATAGATCATAAGTTGGGAAACTTCGATTATCTTTTTTTTCTATGACTATAAACTTCTTGGTGCTAGGAACTGACTTTGATGTTTAATCCCATTAATGAAAAATAGGACAAACACCTATTTAGGCCAGTTTCTTCCAATTCAGTTGGTATTCTGCAGAACTTTTCTACTTCATCACTAAAGAAATGCTGTATTGTGTACGCAATTCTTTTAGAGTTAAGTATCTAAGCTTACTTTTTGTGAGGATTTTGCTATTACGAGTAAAAAGACCTATTTCTCCCCTCAAAATCCTCCCCTGCCAGAAAGGAGTTTTGTAATGTGCCTCTTCCTGCCAAACAGACAAATCCAGTTGTGCTGGCATAGCCAAAGCAATAGCAATAGCTTCCTCCTCTCCCTTCTCAAGGTCCTGGGTCTCAAAAAGCCTGAATGCCTGCCACCAGCAACTTGATTAGCAAATGCACTCTGAAATACTGTTCTCCCCTTCTGTTTTGTGGATCCCCACACCCTTGTCTTTGGAAAGCCCATTTTGGGTGGCTTCTACACACCAAATCTCTGGTTTATATCATAGTGAGTTTCTGTTTAAATGGAGGAGCAGCAACAAGCTTGGTGGCTTTTCCTCCACTGTGTGGTCTGGTGGCTGTTTTCTTATTATGTTTTCTAAATGAGTCACGCATTGTTGAAGAGATTTAATAAGAGAACTTCAGCTATCTCTGGGACAAGTGCTTGTGTCTCTGAAGTTGATGAAATCAAGTTCCAGTTATTTGCATCTTTAAAAGCAATATCTATAGCAACAGCTGTGCATCCCATCCCAGAATGGAAGCAGCAGCATTTGCATATCATACAAAGAAACACTTGTGTAGCATTGGAGCAGGCACCAGATTGTCATACTGCACTGTAAGAAAGATCAAGTAGGAGAGAATAGTTTCATGTGAAACAAAATATTGGATTTCTTTGATTTAAAAATGGCCCCATGAACTCAGTGTGCTGGGAATGGTGAAACCCACAGATTTGATCATCCTGCTGGTAATGGCAAAATGCTGTCAAATACTTTGTCAAAGTTAAAATTCAAGACAAATTACAGTGCCCAGGTAGCCAATATGAAATGAGATAGGGGAGAACTGAACTGCTTCCCCTTGAAACTGACCCCTTGCGAGTATTCACAAAACCAGAATGAGAGGTCTTGTACAAGCTTTTGCAGAGCAACTGAGATTGAAGCAGAAATAAATGCCATGGTTAAGAACCACACTCTTTTCATCTACAAGATCCAAATCAATAAGAACTGCTGGATTTTGGGTAGAATGTCATTTTGATGAAACTAAACCTCAAGCTATGTGTTTGGGGTGGGAGGGTAGCACAACAGGTTTTTAGATTCTTACCGTTTCTGATTCATAAGCAGCTCTCTATGGAGATCCTGATGATTCCGAGATGACTTCACAGGATTAATTAATTTCTGAGGTCTAATTAATTCAGGATTGTCATCATCTATGTAGTCTGGTTCAGCCATAATCTTTCTTGGAATGGGATATGGATCTTTGGGTTCAGTGTCCTTGTTCACAGTATCTGTAAAACAGGGGCAAAGCTCCAGTGAATCTACACCAAATGGCCTTTTAATAATATATTAAAACATAAAAGCAGCATATTACACTGGTAACAGTTATGCTTTCCCTAGATTAATTTTGTCTGTAGTAAGTAAAGGCTCTCAGAGCAAACATCCACAGCATATAGACAGCAATTTCACACCAATATCATCTCCAACAGCCTCCATCCCTTGACTTGCAGATGCAGATTCCCTCTGGTTTATGAAGGACCAGACAAATAGTTCAGGTTAAGTGTGTGAGAAACCCTATTGATTTTAATAGGCTTACTCAGATGAAGGATTTTTGACATCAGTAATACTGAGACCCTAAAGGCATTTTAAATACTGACTGTATCAAATACTATGAGTATGTACTGAAACCATACAAAGTCTCATTTTCTGCCACCAGTTCCATGTCAGCTAGGGGGTAAACACCTTCTGTGGATAAGTCTTCAACTGTAGTGTGCTGAGCAAAAGCTTCCATGTGAAAATTACCACATCTACAATTGCTGGGATAGGGCACAGAGTTTGGAGTGGAAAGATAGAGGAGAAAAAGTTGGGTGAGGTTGTTTCAAAGGCCAAATTTCACTGAAAACCCATTGATCTGAAGGCAGTGAAGTCTTGATGATTTATACCAACTGGAAATGTGGCATTTTCCTAACCTGTTATAGCAAAAGTATCTATATACCAAATCACAACACTTCTAATCAACAGCTGACAAGTATAGTTGTCAAATACTTTCCATATGACCATTCATACTCCCTTCCAGGACAAAGGCTCAGTTACAAAAAGCTCAGCATCCAAAACAAAGCACATTCAGAGCAATTCTGCCTCTGTTTGCTGTTGTGAAAACCTGCACAACTGCCGAATCTGCAATTATCAGTTTAATGAAACACTGGCCCCTCAAACAGACCCTAAAAAAACCAATCTCACAGCATGTGATTCATCCCATGAGATGAATCAATGGGACATGAAAGAAAAGACAAGAGACCTCCATTAGCCTGACTGGCAGAACAGCTGAATGCTGCACACTATATGGTACAGAGAATCATTGGAATTTGCCATGTATTTTCCAGTAAAAGCTGAGTATGTGCTTTGATTTATACTCTGCTGTTTGAGCCTTTCTCTCCCTCTCTCACTTCATGGGCTGTGAACCCTATATTCAGTCTCAGTTTAATCCCTGACCTATTGTTTTTTTCATGAGGAATCTCATGCTGTTGCTCAGGTCTGATTCAAAATCCACTCGGTAGAGTGGAAAGATTTCCACTAACACTTCAGTACATGAATACTGAACCACTATCACCCTGCTTGGGCTGTGTGTGCACTTACAGATGAAGCAGCAAAACTACAAGACCAAGTTTTCAGTGGATGCAGGGAAGCCACTCAATTTAAATGTGTCTCATGGACCTGACATAGCCCTTTCAGCTTCCTTGTTTGAATGGATAATGTGAACTGTGTTTTGCTGCAGCTACATCTCCCACACCAGGATTCTATGGAGCAAATGTGATGAGAAACAGCTTACACCCATGTGAGCTGCTTGCAGGGTGGGCTCTGCATTAGGTTTTCAAGGCAAGTTTTGCTGTAGCGTTTTTGCACTCTGTGGGGATGCCAGTTCTCCCAGAGACCTCTCAAACTAATATAAGAATTGCCCACAGTTTAAAACTATGTAAGCATATTGCTGTACATGGCATAAACCTCTTACTGACATGGCTCATGCCATAAAAATACTTCTCCCATCACCCCTTCAGAGTCCTTCTTGATTCAGTCAAACAACCAGCTACCACCACATGTACCAAATACAAGGGATCATAGAAAAACTGACGTCAGAAGAAGTTGCTGAAGCCTTTCAAGGCTGCACAGCCTCTGTGGGCAGCCCTTTTTCACTGTCTTCATGGTGAAGTTGACCTTTACACCTATATGAAGCCCTTGTTTTAACATAGGTACATTGCCTTTTACCTTCCTGCCGCAAAGCACAGTGAAGAGTCTGGCTCTGTCTTCTTGGTAAGAAGCTAAAAACAAAACCCCAACCCACAGCATACACCACATAGCACAATGTCATTAATAAAAAGCATGTGGAAGTCTATTCTCTTTCCCACAGACAATGAATATGCTACAGTTCTTTTCTCCTTTGAATAAGGCCACAATTCATACTTCCTCAGCGTTCACATCAGGCTTATCACAGCTAAACCAACTCCAATGTTACATATCCAGTCTCCACCCAAAATAAACCTGCTCTGTAAATATTTGGTTTTCTGTACTCTCTGAGTTCTGTTGCATTGATGGGGCTGTAGGTCTTTTAAAAGGCATTTACCAGACAGCTCTCCATTAAAGTAAATCTGAAAATAACCTGCTGCTGCTTCAAGATGAGTCTTGTTTGCTCTAGGCAGAGCTGAAAGCCGCAGAATTACCCTACCACTGTCAGAAACAATGTAGGGTGCTTTTAACACAAGCCCTTGAAAAATGATTTGATTCAATCACTTCTCAGAAAGTTTGATGTAAGATTTTGAAGCCTGTAGATTCCCTTTTGGCAAGCCCTGAAAAAGAAGTCTATTTATTCTGCTTTCTTCTGCCCCCATCTCCGCTTTTAAAAACATGTATTCAACACAGAGGTCAGGAATGGTTTCCTCATGTAACATGAACTCTACTAGCAGCAAACTTGAATGAATAAAACTCCCTTGGGAACTCACGATGCCTTCCATGTGTGATTAAGCTGCAGATGATCGCAGCTAGGATTTCCAAACAGAGCCAGCCAAACAGGGCACTTAGTTCCCACTCACTCCTCTCACACCCTTTGCAAACCTCAGCCTGGCTGGAGGCCACAGACCCAGTCCTGCAGAGTCACTGTGTAAGGTTATGAGCAAACAACACGATTAAATGGTGTGAGTTCTACCCACACCTTTTCAAAGCAAATGTTTACAGAAGCACAGGCGTGTTTCACATAAGAAGGAAACTGAGGCACATAGGATGCACCAAGCCAGCAGTAGACAGGAATGGAGCTGTCAGAAAAGCACCAGTTTCATTGTGAGATTCAGGCTCACACCTATAAACCAGACAAGCCTGATGACAGAACCCTGTAAAAGTCCTTAAATGTTTAATCAACATTCAAGCGATAACAATTAAAGAAATACATATTCCAGTAGTCCCTAGTGCTCATCACCACAGAGTCACAACCCATAGAGCTGCTTTCACATCATCAGAAAGTGCAATAGCGGGACATGAATAATCCAAATAATCACTTAGCAGGAATATGCTGCCTTAAAAGCATTTGAGAAGCTCCTTTTAACCATCTGCTGGTATATGATCAACTGAGAATGCACAATCCAGCTCTGTGTTTCCCCATTACCTTGCTTTAAGACAAAGAGATTTGGATTCAGGGATGTTTGAGCTCAGCTTGGCTCAAGTTTAATACACCCACTAATCTGGCAGGTGTTTCCCCAGTGCATTTCCTGAATTAGCTGCTGCTGCACAAGAGCACAAAAGCATTTCTCTACCCTATCTTGTCCTGCCCAAGTAGCTCTCACATACTTTGTCACTTCTTATGGATACATGGTTTTCCATCAAGAAACAATAAATTGTGGGTCCTGCATGTATGAGGCGTTTTAATTCCTCAAACAGCACTGAAAAGCAATTTCACTATCCTGTTAGACAAAGAAAATGATCTATATATAAAAATAACTTCAAGTATCCTCCTAGTTTAATGCTTTCAGATACAAAGATGCTCTTAGAGAAATCAAGAAGTACCATACTGGTACCTCAAGTCTTGGAGATCCAACACTAATGCTTGCAATTCTCCCATTTATTTTTCTTGGAGTGTAGGTAAATTCAGGAAGAATGAAGAGATCCTGCAAGCTGATCATATAGAATAGACACAACTGAACTGCAGTGTGCCAGAAGCACAGGTTACATGTGGGGGAATGTGTCCAACAGCCACGTTTGCTTACAGCTTTATTCATTTATAGTCTATTTATAGATGTTTTTTTCAGCCAAAGTCCCTCAATGGTAATAATGCTGGAAACTTGTACAAAGAGAGCTACAACCAGCCACAAGTGTTTTTAACAGATCTAAAGTAGATCTTAACAACACCAGGTTAAGGATTTAGCAGCTGTCAGAGCTTTTGCTACAACAGGGCTCCATGGCTTCCACAAGAAAGGGAAGTTCATGCCAAAAATCCCCTCGTGTTCATATGGCATGCAGGGAATTGCACTTATTTTCTCTCTGATACTCTTCATACCAGAAATCACCTTCTGCATATGGAATCTGAATATAAAAATTCCTATGGGACACCATATATTTAGATTATTATACATATATATGGCATTTTCACCATTCACATGATTCCCACAATTCTTTCCAGCTGTGAAAGCAGAGGTAGAGTTGAGGTCCCTTAAAAGGCACATAAATAAATGCCTAAAAATACCAATGAACAGCAAAATAATAGCCTAGTCCAGGACCCAGAAGTTACATTAAGGCCAAATTCATTTCCTTTTTGCCCTAATAAATTCTTGAACTGATACTTTGCACAGAAGCATTAGCTCAAATACTGAACACCTCCTGAAGATTTTACTCTCACAAATGCTTCAACATCTGCTCTGAGCTGTGCTGTGAAGCATCAAACACTGGTTTTTAAGACTTACATTTTTAGCTCTTTAAACTACTGCATACACTTGTGGTGTGTTACAAGTAACCCAAAGGCATTACTTGAGAAAAAATACGGTTTTACTCTCCCCCTTCTGATTTCAAGAGGTACTGGAATAAAAACTCTTCAGTTTGTCTCTGCTCAGACGTTACACAACCAGAACCACCTCACATCAGCACGGGTGGAAAGGAAAGAGCCACTTCAATGCAGAGTGTGCTTCCAGGCACCATCTTCCCACTGTTTGCACATGAAAGCTCACCACTGCTATCATTTCTATCCATATGCTCTCAGTGCAGCAAGAGACTCTTGACTAGAGAGATTTACTTGATTAATCCTTGATTATAGATA